TCGGAGGAGTTTTAGTTTGCTGCACCCCAAGTCATTTAAGGCGCATTACACTACCGAATTTCCTACAGCAGCTGGAATTAACATGCTATATGCCACCGAGGCATGCAAACACTGATGCCATTAAAGCGGTGCAAAAGCATTTAGCCCACTTTAAAGTGTCATGCACACATGCCCCTTGTTTTCTCTACACATGGTGTAAGAGCTCATATTTTTCGAGGGGTGCCTTAAGTCTAAAAAGATTGAGAACCACTGGTTTAAATGAACAAACTAGATCCATAACCCTGCTAAATCTTAGTCACTTGAGTAATCCTCACTTATAGAACTGGTTCTGATGACTCCAATGAGACAACTCATGGGATCAAGGGTGTTCAAGACTAAGCACTTTTTTGGTCACAATCTACTCTCATATGTGCCTAGGATTTTCTAATTTGATTTAACAAACAGGAAAAGATCTTTTATCTTATCACTTACTATGCCAGGTTAAGTAATGAAGAGCGTGGCTAAATGGTCACATGTAAAATTAAGGGTATATTTGTAAATAGTTTATGAAAAATTAATAATTTTATGAACATATAACACATTATATATAGCTACAAACACATCAATAAACAGTATTAGGATAATTAGAAGCCATGGTGATAAGAAACAATTTGGTCTATAACAATCAGTAACAATTTTTTAAAACTTATCTTAGTTTATGTCACTTTCAAATTATATTTTATAAAATACAATTTAAATATAAAACTTGACTAGTAAGATACAGTTGTAGTACACTTCTGAAAGGCAGACAATCTTTTTGGACTTTATTTAACTGAATTCTCAAAACAAATATGTAAAACAATTAAGTAACTAGCTTGGCCCAAACAGTGGAAGTTCTAGAAATTATAATTTAGATATAATTGATATCTTGCCCATACCAATACAATAAATGGCTTAATGAAGTGCAGTGCACAAGGTCCATACAAGCACAGTAAGTCACAGTGAACAGAAAACAGGTGTTAATGGTATAAATATAGTGGAGTTTAAATACTATGGGAAATACTATGATTTTTGCAGCCAAATGTTGGCCATATGGAGGCATTCCCAAATATTTTTGCTGGAAATTATCTAAATCACTTTATAAAAAATAATTCTTAAAAATAGCATAAGAAAGGGTAATTATGTTTTGGCAGTTGTGAGCTTGATAAATAAGTTGAGGGAGGATCATAGAAGCAAATGGTAAAAATAGACTGTGATATGTAAATATTGGTGGTGGGCAGAGATAGTCAACGGTAAGATTTCTATCTAGTGAGAAAGTAAATGGACAGTTATAAGCTGTGTGGCTCACATGACTGCTGGATACATTGCATGGGGTAGGCTGGATGGTACTGCTGCTTTGGATGGTTGTACATATTGTAATATCTCTGTGAAAGTGCTCTTAATTGTATATTTTTTGTGGCCAGAGCTTTGGACAGGTGCATTTTGACACAGGTTTTCTTTTCAGACTGAAATCAAAATAAATAAATATCACTGGTTGTACAATATAAGAGTCTAATATTATAAAAGCCTATGTCTGTCTGTCCGTCTGTAATGTAAGCCAATCAGAGCGCTCCAAGCGTGGGGAAGCGCCGCCATGACTCTGAAGCTGCACCGAGGACTGGACAGAGGGTGGAAGAGCAAAGGCCAGCAGTGGTGGCCCCAGCTTCCCCACCCTGCTCCCTGCAAGCGGCAGAATGGCAGTAGCATTGAGCGTTAGGTGGCAACACTCCATCCCAGCCCCCACTCCCCCACCCCTGTCATTCTTGATGGGCAATTGGCTTGTAAAATAGAAAAGTTCAGTAACTAAATGAAACTGCTAAAATTAGAAATATTTTTTCTGTGAATGCTGTGTTTTCCCAAACACTGCAGAGTGAAAGTATCCAAATTAAATTCACAACATAAAGTCACTTTAAGATATGCCATAGCATTTTCAGGTACTAGGTGTTATAACCAAACTTTTGGCAATATGTTGTCTCTCTCTCTTTCATGCACACACAAGAATTAGTGCCTTCGTTGCTTTTGCATATAAATAAGACTTCAAAACACATCTAGTTACAGATTCTATCCAGACTTTTTATGATCTAAAGGATAATATATATTGTATTCAACAGAGGTAATCTAGTGTAACATACTCCATGCTTGATTTGGCCATCCTTGCATACCCAGTATTTCCAAAGAATGCAAACACAGGACTTACATGTCATTCAGAGACTTTTATGAAGGCAGTTTTTCTGCTAAGATTCAGCTTTGGCTCTCCCATTCTTTTGTTAGTTTTACATATAAAGAGACAACTGAGCTTTTAGTTCTCACATTTAAGTTTTATTTAAAAAGTAATTTATGAAGTTGTAGCTGAATTGCATTTTTTCCATGATTATTTTACTTTCTACTGTTTTTATTTGTATTACATTAGCACCTAGCAGCCCTCATTAAATCAGGAAACCCACCAGTCTGGGCAGAATGCAGATATATGGTAAGAAACAGTTGCTGTCCTGAAAAGCTGCAATCTAAGGCTCTGTTCCTTTAAACACTTTATGTGCATGAGTAGCCCCCTTTAAAATCAAAAGGGGCCAGTCAAGTAAGCACATGTACACACATGCTTAAGTCTTTGCAGAATCACGCAAGACAGGAAGCAACAGTCTGATGTAAGAAACAAAACAGAGAGGAGAGGGGCAGTAAGATCAGAGTAGTAGTGACAGGAAGGCACATTTATAGAGATATGCACAACTTCCAAGGCAAAGCGCATTTTGAGAACTGAATAAAAATGTAAGCTGTTTTAAATAAACATGGCATCTGTAATTCAATTATTATTTCCCTGCAGTATTTGCAACTCAAATGTTTTTGCTCACGGCCAAGAAATTAACATCACTTTGAACGGACACATGCAGCTTCACTGTCAAAATTGAGTGCAAAAAGTAAAAGCCAAATGAAGCAAAATACTCAAACTACAGGAAGTGTGAAAAGTAAAATGAAAAGATAGTAGCCTTTAATGATCAATAGGGCTATTTGCAGGTAAAGAACTGTTTTAACATGACAGTCACAGCCTCTGTGGTATTTTAAATGACTACAGCTCTCTCTACCCCCTGATCTAATCAGCTTGGAAAAGCACAGCAAAAAAGATCACCTCCTCCTCATAAAACTCAACAAAAAGCTCAGCTGAGTTGTAGATAAAGGAAATAATCTTTTTTATATGCAACTCTTAGGAGGAAGGGACTGCAGAATGAAATTTAGTAGAAGATACTAGTTCAGGGTGAAAGGATATGATGTAAATGTTTAAAGAACTTAGTTTTGAAGAAAGAGGAACAGAAGTCTGCGGCTGGAGAATGCAACAGTTGGTTTGGATGCATGTGCAAGATGTACAAGAGTCTTCTGATTTACAAATACTTAAGTCTTAGAGGCTCCTTTAAAAAATAAGTTAATGTTACAGTTGTGTATGAAATCTACCTTTCCCAAATCATATAGCCAAATACAAATTAATCATTAGGATTACGTGTGTGAATAAGGTAAACAGGGTTTGGCCTATTCAATAGCAATCCACAGCTTTTGAAGTAAAAGCCATAATTTCTGCTAGCAAATAGATATGTTTTAAAAAAAATAGAGGAGGAGAAAAATAGTATATCTCAGCTCTGTAAAACAAAACTATTCCTGGATGATGCTAGCAAAACAAATATAAGTATTATTAAATTATAATCACAGGGCATGATGGATGACATTTAAATATTAGATTTACTGCACAAGCATTCAGTATTGACACTGTGATCTTTAAGAAAGAGAAGCTGTAATGTCATCAGGTCAATCAGTGTTCCTATCACAGTCTATAGGAAGTTGAAAAGAGAAATGCAGCATCCAAAAAACTCTCAATAGGACACCTCAGTGTTCTGAATAGTATATTCTTCCAGCAACTTTAAATGAATACCTAAGGTTTGGGTAAATAAAATGGTCTTTTATCATAGGAAAAGCATATGTTAGGGAAGAGTTAATTTTATCCTTAATACCTCTATACTTCATCTTTTCCAGACTATAGAGGAGGTAAGTGGTTTTTTTTTTCTCTGGTAGTGCTCATTATCAACTGTTACCCTATTTTTCATTTTGTTGCATGTTGTCAACCACAGCTTATTCTTTGTTTTATAAATCAACCTGGAATTGCAGCCTTCAGAGGTAGTCTTCTACCCTATTTCCTTTTACCTAACAGCATCCAAATAAACGCCTTGTCGGTTTCTCAATCCTACCGCAAAGCACATACCAGCTGAATAGTCTGTGCTTTTACGGGAAAAGGCCCCAATTTAAGATATACTAGAAGGCAATGTTACCAGTAAAAAGGGTGGCTTGTTACCACTTAATTATAATTCTTTTGGTTTAAATAGGGACAATTTTAAAGAAGTGTTTTGAGGGTTTATTATTTTAAATGGTACCGTCATTTTACAGATAAAAAAGCAAAAAAACAGAGAAGGAATGTAATGGGCATCATGTCACTGCTAATCTTATACTGCAAAGGACATCTTTGTATGGTCAAAGATACCTTTCTTCATGTTCATTGGGGGAGGGGAACCTTGTTCTTGGCTCGAGAGCACAAGCCCACCAGCAGCAGCATTTCCAAGCAAACCTGGGACTTGTTCTGACAACACAGGTCAGCAGCAACCAAGCATTGGCCAGGTCTTACCAGTCCAAAAGGGAGACAAGGGTGCAGGCTGAGCAGAGCCCCAGCCCCGACGCATGATCTGAGCAGTCTTAAGCAGGGCGGGGAGGAGGGGATCAACTTCTTGGCGTGCGGTGGGGGGCATTAAATCAACCAGGCTGGATCTAGCCAGGGCTAGCGCTGTGCCAAGGGGAGGAGGCGAGGCCAGGGCTGCCCGGCCAGGAGCACAATGAGGGCGAGGCGCACGTGCGTCCAGCTCTCCGTCCCCCACCACGTCCCTGCCAGGGGCTCTGCCGGGCACAGGTCCCCTCCGCCCCAGCCGGCGGCGCCCTGCCCCCCTCGGTCTTACCTGTTGATTTTCAGGGCGAACGCCCTCCTGTCCGGCGCGGGCAACGTGGCCATCCCTGCCCGCGCCCCTGGGCTCTGCGGCTGGCGGCGTGGGCCCGGGGAGCGCAGCTCATGCCCGGGGCTCAAGACACCCGGGCTGGGCTGTCAGTGCTCCGTGGAAACTTCCGCATTTCACCTTCCTCAGTGAAACCGAGCGAGGGGGAGGGCTCACCCTGCCCGCCGGCGCCCGCAGCATCCCTGCCTGCCGGCTCCAGCTGTTTGCAGCTGGAATTCCACGCGCCTTCTCTCCTGGCACCCGCCCGGGCTCAGCCCCACCGCGCGCACGGCAGGAGGCTGGGCCCCCCGGGCCTGTGCCGGGAGAGATCAGCGCTTGCACCCCCGGCCAGCTCCCGCCCTTCCCGGCTTCTTGCATAACCCGGTACAGCCGCGTTTCCCAGCCCCGGAACTCGGCTGAATCTTCCCAGCAGGTGCCCCCCTTTGGGGCACCGACTTCCAGAGGGTCCTTACTAAGAGCAAGGCAAGGGGGGGCCTCCCAGCGAGGACTTGGATGTGAGCCATGAAGAGCCTTAAGGGTTTAGGCACAAAAAGCCGAATCTTTTCTTGGAGCCTATATCTGGGGGCATGGGCAGATCTAGGATTGCAGATGGGGTGGGGCATCATCACACCTAACACATTTTTCTCCAGGTAAAAAGAAACTGGTGTCACTAATAAACTGGGGCCTAGGGCTATACTCCTCCATTTAAGATTGAAGGGGGGGAAGAAAGCTTTATTGGAATGTGTATTCGTTTGCTATGTCATCTGTTGTATATATTAAACCACAACATGCTGGGCAAAAATAATCCAAAAACGTTGTTTCATTAGTCCTGAAGTCATTATAGTCAAATGTAGGTCTCTCTTCAGATTCATGAAACACAATCAAGCTTCCTTGAGCATCTGGACAGTGCCTCGCTGAAAGTGATTTTCACACCTGAGGTAATGTTCACTGAAGTTCATATTTCCACACCCAAGTCAATGTTTTTAGCTAGAGTTAACAAAAAAAGTGCTGGGTGGTATTACTAGGATCAGCTAACAGACAGCAGCAGTGTAGAAGTAAGGATAGCTGGAGTAGGGAAACCATTAAAGAACATTTAAAAGGAAAAAAACGTGTTCTGTGAAATTAAGAGTTTAGAAGGAATCAAGCAAATTCTGATGAACCATGAAGTCAGTTGACTCACTGGCTCCTGCCTGACTAGAAATGCTGCTGCCCCTGCTGGGCAGTTGGCTTTAAACTTTAGATGGACCAGGAATCAAAGTGGGGTACAAGTGCACCAGTGCACCTCCTCTGAATCCACCCTGTCTCAGGATGTGATACAAGCTGCTGTACCTTGTCTTGTAAAACTGTAACATGTAGGGGATAGAACTAGATCCACAAGCGAGAAAATGAAACCTGGTCCTGGAGGAAAGTTTCCGTTGGAGACTTGGAGCCAGTAATTCACAGACACAAATGGTACCAAGGAAAATATTTTGCTGCTTTCAGTATCTCATTTTCTACTGGCCAAGCCAGTTCTTTATTTAAAATAGTAAAAGTATGCTGTTGATATGCTATTCATCCGGCACCTAATCTGAAATACTTGTGTGTAACAGAAGGGTAAATAGGTAGGGTATAGTTGCACCTTAGAGACCACTGCTGTTCACGCTTTCAGTCCCAAGCACTGGGTGAGTGGCATGAGGCTGGTCAGTGGGCCAAATCCTTTGTTGAACAGGCACATGGGGTTGGGACCTGCATGCCCAGATTGCACCCCATACCACCTTGGCATGGCTCTGGGGTGCTTGAGCTGAAATGCAGGACCATGCTATCTGGACTACTGGGCTCCTTGTGGGTCCAGAAATTTGGCAGCAGAGGAGTGGCAATTAACTTTGCCACTGCTCTCCTGACACCAAATTTTCAGACTTGTGTGGAGCCTGGTATGCCAAATGAGACAGCTCTGCAAGCCAAGTCTGGCCTGCTGGCTGGGGAGTTGAGCACTGCTGTTATAGACTAACTAAAGATGCCTAAGAGATACATAAAGGGTAACAGTGGCAGACATCCATAGGCCAGGCACAGACATACTTTTACTGGTGTAAGTGATTGGAAACTGGTTTATATACCTATAACAGAACAGAAGTTCAGCACACAAAACCAGTCTATACAGGTAACAGATCAGAAGTGTGACGCACACAAACTGGCTTTAAAAAAGGCAGAACCTGATCTAAGATTTGTGCCTTGCTCCCCCTCCTCCCTCGCCCCGCAAGGGAAAGTGTGTTCTGTTCAATACTGAATTAAACTATGCTGCTTACAGAAAACCATGTAACTTGGATCAATTCCACGTTGGCCATTTTGAATGTCTTTACCTAGCCACACTGCAGTAGCTACCCCTGTGCTATAACAGCCAATGTTGGTTGTTAAAAAGTAGTAAGTGGTGTTACTATTTTCATCCTTGTACTTCCTCCTTGCTAACCTTCATGCGGAGTTTCTTTAGCTTAGCAGTTTTTAACTGCTCTTTTTCTTAAAATTACTATTAATATTTTGCTGCTATTTTTACAATTCCTGCTGTTATATATTTATTTTAAAATATTCTTTATAGATGTTTTCTTTTCCCTTTCTTATGTAGGCTGCATGGCAGGTGCAGATTTAAGGATTAAAAGATCTGAGGTGTTTGCTTAAAATTTATATTTTTCATATCACACACGACTACTTAGATGCTACAGACAGATGCTAGTGAATCAAGGTAGATCCAGGTTTAGGTCCCTCAACTTAGAAAACCTCCCATTAAATCTGCTTAATACACTTGCACACAATCAAAAATCTCACCTGTCTAGCTCCTGTAGATCGCAGTAGGATTCCTTGTGAAGTATGGAGCCACTTGATATAAAGATGACAGAATTTGTGTTTTTGATTTAAAGGTAATATGTCATTAAATTAAAAATGTAATAAATAATGTAAATTTACTTTAATAAAAACATTAATTTTATTATTAAAAATAATACAGTAAAGTACAATGAGATAGTCGACAATGAGGTACAATGAGGTACATATCAACCACCAGATCATGGTTTCACATGTGGCTTTTTAAAAGTGCGTACTATATGCCTGAGAGGAAACACAGAGCAGCTGAGGGATTGAACCAAAATTTGAAATACATTTTTCCATGGTAATGGAAATAAATCTAGATGCATCATAAACAGAACACATAGGTTTTCTTCAGCATCAGTGAGACCTGAGGAGCTGATATGAAAAATAAATAAGGAAAAGAAAAATTATTTATAAAGGACAGAATGGATATTGATTGGAAACCAATTGCATCACTAGGCATATATGAAACTAGTTTGTGGGATTTTTTTGTCTTAAATGACAAAAATTTACCTCCTCCCCACAAGATACAGGTGGTAAATGTACTTACTCATTGGTAATCTTTCCAAGAGATTTTCTCCTTTCTCAGGGCTACCAAGCATAGATTGTCTATATTATGATTCTGTAGGTCTGTCCTTCACAATTCATCAACTATGAATGTACGAGAGACTGGAAACTGTTGGACCTCACTACTTACAATCTTTACCTATTGTGTGCATCAGTGTAAAATATTGTTCCTGGTAATCTGCATTTAAAGCTATTCCAGTATATGATGTAATTATAACTAGTTGGCAGTATAGTCACATAGAAATTTAAACTCATATTTACAATGTCCAGTTAAGCATCTGACATATATGTACAACCTGTTTGATCCGCTGTCACATTCTTTTAAAACACCGCAAACTCTGCTCACCTTTAGACGGAAAGCACCAGAATCAGGACTGACTGACTCATTTTCTGTATTGTCACTGAAGGCCAGTTGCAGGCCAGAGAAGAAATGTTATTGTATTACAGTTCCTTTTGCCCAAATTGGGCTGCAGTCTCTGGTTTGTTGAGTTTAGTTTGTGTTCATTATAAAGGGTGTAGCACAAGATTTTCCTATGCCCAGTTCTCCATTGATACAGAGTTACTGGAATAACTTGCATCTGCTTTTCTGCAGATTCAAACTTGTACCAGAGCTGAACAGCTACGAGTAAGTAAAGTACATGAGTGTGGTAGAGAATCTGGCCATTAGCATTCCTCCGAATTTCTTTAGAACCTTCTGTGATGTGGTACACATTTTTTAAACACAAATTAAATACCAGTTCCTGTTCAAAACAGCTCAGAGTCTAAAAACAAACTGACAAACAAACACAGTAAAAGGGAAGGGAAGCTGCAACAGGCCATTCCCTACTTGTTCCCTAGATTGACGATTTGGTGCAAGTTGTGCTATTTTATGCTTTAGAAATGTTTTTGAATTTTCCCTTTTCTTCTTTGCAAGACCCACAGGAGGAATCAATCCTTGCTATACTTCCTTTTACTAAAACACATTTTAAAGCTTTGGGTTTTTTGGGGTGAGATATGCTGTGTCTTTTTCCTTGACGTATTACTATCTCCACAAGAATAGCTTCCTCTGCTGTCAGAGCTACAAACATGGGGTGGGAAATAAAGAGCTATTGAACCAGGTTAAACAAGTATAAGACCTCTACAGTCCTTGCCTGTCCAATGGAGAAACTGCATATCTCAAGGAATGAGCAAGATGACTAGTGCACATGCATCAAATTATATATAACATTTATAAACACACACAATATTCAAAAATACTTTGCTTGGCCCTTGAAAACCAGGAGAAAGTTTTTGTAATTGGTCAGAATGTAGGGAAAATATTAGGAAGGATCTAAAAATCAAATTCCCTAGATAAATTTAACAAACAAAGGCTATACATAACTAAACTACACCAGGTATTTCTTTTTTGGATGTATTGAGCTAGGAGCAGCTTATTACAGTCAGCATGTATCCAACAGAACCTGATAAACTTTTCCTTGCATCAGCTGCTCCCGCACACTTTGGTCATAGTTGCATTCAGGAAATTTACCACAACAATATAACTGCTTTTAAGATATTGGAGCACCCATGGAGGCAAAGCAGTAAAAGACAGACCGACCTGCTTTTACGAGCCTTACGTAGAGCAGTCCTCCCACTCAAAAGAAAAAAAATTATTTGCATTTTTGTATTTTAATTGTCCCCAGTGCATTCAATGCCTTAAGGCCTTGTCATGTCCCTTGGAAATCAAGTCAAGCACTAAACCAGTTAGAAAGTGGCAACAAAAAAGCAAATGGCAGCCTTGTATAAAATATTGCAACCAAAACAGACTAAGGAACTACCATCAAATAATATGTAGCTGCTTCTGGATGCCATCTGGCGGTTTCTGACATAATGACAAACATTTTCAGACACCTTCCCCCTCCCCACTGCCCTGCCCAGCCGGCAACCTCCCTTTTTACCACAGCGTCACAGAAAGCAGGGAATTATCACTTAGCTAGTGACACCCCTGCAAAGGATCAGTTTCTTCGTACAACTTATTGAGCTGTTAATGCTGGAGATAATGTCACAACAGTCTGTCATTAAACATGCTTTTGTGATGGGGAGGGGTGATAGCGCAATGCTCATGTCCTAAGTAATGTCTGTCATTGTAGGAAGGCTTTAGATTCATACTTACTGAGTGTGTCTACATGTATGCTTTAATGCACAGTAGACTATTTTACTGTGCATTA